TTTGTACTGATACAAATAGTAGTAGCTTTGTAAATTTCTATATATAGTGGTTTAATGATTCGCTTTGACTACAAGTGGAAGCCTCAGTAACTGCGTTGTAGTAATCTACACCGTTACTATTAAAAAATTTTTACTAATAAAGATATGAGTAAGGCCTTACCTTAAAACCAAAAAAAAAAAAAAATTTTATATTTAAAATAGATCTCAACACTGGCTTGAAAGATAATTGAAATCACGACTTACTTCTACAAATAATCATTACCACCTTCTATTTTAGCAACTACAAGAGCAGCAACTTCCTTTGTCATCATATCTGGAATTAGATCCACGTTCACTAACAAACGAGTTTGATAAACTGCATTAGCTGTAAGATTTTTGAGTTCATGTTCAATTAGATTGGTTACGTCAAGACAATCAACCTTAATATATTCAGTGTTACCAGTATCCATTTTCTGAATATTATCATGATCAGGGCTTTTGGGTTGTTTAACCAATTCAATAGTTGAATTTGTAATAACTGGCAATTTTTTTATTTTACTTCGGTCTCGACTTTCTTTGCACATTCTGCAAGTTTTGTGGAAAGCACCTCTCCAAATGAATTGATCTTTAAAATGATTAACTTTGCAACTAGAACACATTATCTTGTAAAATAATTTGTAGATAAGCTTAATATTAATAGACCTTAGATGCTTATGATTTAGGTATAGGTATAGTTTCAATTTGTGGTATTTTCATTTTTCATAGTAGGTTGGACCTGGTATTTATTAGAAGAGCTAATATATATTTTATTGTTGAAATAACCGTAACTAGATTATTTATACTTATAAGATTTCAAAAAGTTTTTATTGTTTAACAATGAAAAATTTTCGAAATCGTATAAGTCTAAACAATAATTGGATAGACAATTGTATGTCATGCTAATTCAAACAAAATATCAATTTTGTTTCTATTAATAAACTCAAGATACGTCTTTAACAGTTTAATTAATTTAAGTATGCAATATCAGTTAGTTCAACCTAATCTATTTGAAGTGAAACAACAATTACAAAATTTAATTTATTAATCGAAATTAGTTAATTTTATTTGAAGC